CCAAAGGTGGCTTCTTTATTTTTTTGTATTGTCAGGACCTGATACATGTACTACCCAGTAGGTATTATCACAAAATGCTGGACAGACACAATTGTCTTTGTGCAGTGACTCTGCAGTGGGTAGCAGTTTAAGGCATCATAGACAAAAGGTTTGTGGAGATGCTCTTTTATTGTCTGAACACATTCCCATACCACAAATGAAAGCTTGAGTTCTCACAAATGTCCACATTCCTGGCATCTGGAGTATTTTCACGTGTCTCATAATCTTTGAGGTATTTGTGGCTGATAATGGCCAGTAGCATTCTCTGAGCTTCATGTGAAAGACTATCTCATCTGTAAGTGTGTCAAACACATTAGCTTATGATCTTCAGGGCCTTTTCCAACCTAAATGATTCTGTGGTTCTGTCCCTTGCCACCCATCGTGTGACCATACCAATGACTGTCTTTCAAAGATGGAAAAGACTAGTTGTGTAGCAGTAACTGAAATTCTCTAAGAAATCCACAGATGTATCCCCTTCCTGTCCTTTCTGCTTTTTCTTAAGTTCTTCTTCACTGAGATTGACAGAAAACAATGTCATAGAGTCAGATGCACTAAAGTCCTGCAGTAATCATGGAGAAGGTTGTCCCATGAAGGCAAAAAAATGTTACAAGCAGCAAACTTCCATCTGTAAACACTGTAATATATCTGAACATGTTTAAAGTATCCAACCTGGAGAACGTCTGCTGCTTTAGTTACTGGTAACCTGTTTTGTGCTCAAAAAGACAAAAAAGTATTTTATCAAAACCACTGGAACTTACTGAGTGTGCTGATACATATCAAAGTTTGACAGAGGAAACTTCCTGTTTATTCCATGCAGTTTTAGTATAAAAGCTGAAGTATGTTTTCCACAGAAACAGCTCATCTTAGTATCTACCATTTATGCTGTAAACGGAGTATCTAATAAAATTTAATACTTCTAACTAATACGTGAGTTTAACATACTTAGTATTTCTAATGTCTAACAGCTAAACTAGATATGCCCCCTAAACCTAAAAGAACGCCCAAGGCCAAGAAGGTGGAAACTGTAAACTCTGACTCAGATTCAGAATTCGAAAAAAAGACTGCAACACCCAAAGGTAAGAGTTTTGGTGCTTTGCTGCTCAGCGGTCGTGTTTGTGCTTTTTGTAACACAGGCTCGCAATCATTGTGCTAAAGAGGCAGGACTTGTGTCCCTAAAAGTAGAACCACATGGATTTCTTAGAAAATTAATCACTTGTAGGTTGCTCGACCATGAGCCTTGCCTGTGAGAAACTGTACTACTGGCTTTTCATGACAAACAATGTGTGAAGTGCTTTGCTGCTCAGCGGTCGTGTTTGTGCTTTTTGTAACACAGGCTCGCAATCATTGTGCTAAAGAGGCAGGACTTGTGTCCCTAAAAGTAGAACCACATGGATTTCTTAGAAAATTAATCACTTGTAGGTTGCTCGACCATGAGCCTTGCCTGTGAGAAACTGTACTACTGGCTTTTCATGACAAACAATGTGTGAACTTTTTTATCTGACCTTCTGTACTGGGAATGTAATAGCTGCAAACCCCTCTTCTTTTGTTCTTCTGTTCTACTCTGTAGTGCTTATTTCCTTTGATCTCAGCTTTTTACAACAGCAAAATTCTAGTAGTAATTCTAGTAAGTAGCATTTTTCAGCTTTTTTAAACCAACTCTTTGGTACAGCAGTTCATGGTTGTCAAGACTCCTCACAACACAGCATGCCAAAGGCTGTATGGGATGTGCCAGTGGTGATAATTGACGTTAAGAGTAAATTTACTAAATAGTAAAGGTGAGTTAATGCTGCGTAATCAGTACTGAAGGAGACCGAGGACTTGGTGGTACTTCAGAAGTCTGGAAGTCATTGATCTAATGAGGTTTGAACCTGTCTGGAATCTACAGCTTGAATTGCTACGGTTGAATGGCAGTTTGGGAAGAAGTATAAAAGACTTAAAACTGAGAAAATAAAATATATTTTATTTTGCTGCTGTTGTGGAAAAGCTTGAGTTGTAAACTAAATTCTAACTTTAACATGTAGACATTACTAAAGGAATTTCTACTAATTTTTTTTTTCAGTTTTCTGAATTCTGGAGTTTTATTTAACAAAAAATAATAAAACTCCCCCCCAAAATTAAATTGTATTCTCTCACCTAGGAAAAGGTAGAGGGGCAAAGAAAAGGAAAGCATCCGGTTCAGAAAACGAAGGTGAATACAACCCTGGGAAGAAAACCCCTAAATTGACACCAAGCAAGGTCAGTTCCATCTCTGCTCTTTTCTCCTTGTAAAGGGAACCTATTGGATTATTTTACCTAAAAGGTACGTGTGCTTATTAGAAGGTGGCAATATGCTAACGGTGGTGATTTAGGCGTGTCTGGAAATTAGATGTTAGAGAAAGTTTCTTCAATTTTGAATATTAAAAGAGAAAAATGTACATGGCATCACAGCTGATTTGTCTTTTCTTTTCTGAAGAAGCCCAAGAAGGCTGCTTTTGACCAGGATTCTGATGTGGAAATCTTTCAGTCAGGCTTTGCCTCCGAAACTGCCCCAAAGCCACGGACAGGCCGAGCTAGAAAAGAAGTTAAATATTTTGCAGAATCCGATGAAGATGATGATTTTGATATGTTTAATTAAGTGCCCAAAGAGCACACAAATGTTTTCCAACAAATATCTTGTGTTGTCCTTTTGTCACTTCTGTCGCGAACTTTTGTACATTTGACTTATTTTATGTGATAATGTAATTGATGGTTTTTATTATTGTGTGTAGGCATTTTAACATTTTGTTCTTACACCTACAGTTTTATGCTCTTTTTTACTCATTGAAATGTCATGTATTTGTCTGACTGGCTTGTAGAGATGTTCTAGACAGCTGTGCTAAAGCACATTTTAATTGTCATGGTTGCAAACAGCAAACCTGCTTTTTGAAATGAAGTTTAAACATTAAAAAAATGGAAAACTACTCTGTATGTGTGTGCTTGTTAAGACTTGGACTAGAGGAACTGCTTCTACACAGTTGTAGGTTGTTTTTTTTAAAATAAATATATTTTATTCTTTGCCAGGAGACTCCATGGAAAAAGGTAAACAGTATATGAACATAGAAAGCATTGTTAAACAATCTCAATGTACAAACAGAGCCAGTGAAAGTACATCACAGACTTGCTAGAATATATATATATATAAAAAAAAAAAAATCCACTAGTGCTTTAAATGAAACCTAAGAAACTGACACTTTAAATCTGTTAACGATTCTACCACAGTTTTCACTCTGCTTCATGGTGATTTAACAAGGCCAGGAAGGCAGATTCTCTCCTTGTGTTTCTGGAAGTCCTGGCTGTACTTCCCCAGTGCCCGTAAGGCCGGAAAACCCCGCTCGCTCCCGGCAGGCAACTCTTAAGGAAATACCCGAGACTTGCTGGTTTGAAAGCTGTCAGTGCGTCTGCTGGTCATCGGCCCATGAAGTTACCCTAACGGCTTGTGAACAAGTAAACAAAAACATGATAACACTAAACAGTGTTTCTGCCTTGGAGGCTATCCTTACTGTAGCAACGGAGTAGTTAACATTGTGTAGCTAGGTCACCAGCCAGGTAAGAAACCACTTCTTTAAATTTTAAAGTGACATTAACAGTGGAACAGATGATATCTGAGTAACTGATCAGGTAGTTAACGCTGATAACTGATGTCTTTTCTGCTAGTGCAGTGTATTTTTTTGTATACTTTTTTACAAGGAAGGCGATGCAAATTGAGGGCATTAAAGACAAGTTTTCATATTAAACTAAACTAGAAGGTCTTTTAAACTTCCTTTTCTGGATGTGCACAGCAGTCTGTGTCATGTGGTCAGTGTCTTGATCGTTTTAGGTATGAGAGACAAAAGGAAAGCACCAAACATCCAGTCTAGAAAGTACAGCCATACATTTGTATGTACAAAGTCATCAGAAATGCAACCAGAATTTAAAGTTCGAGATCTGTCTTGTCACCATGCAATCGTGAATGTTCAGAGGAGAGAACAGAAGCTTAACTATTTTTTGCACGAAATGGCTGATTTAGAGTTTCAAAAGTTTGCATTTTTCTAGTTTTAAGAGTTTAAACAGCAAGGAGTATATATCAATACATATGAAAAGTTCTTGGTCCTTGTTGAGTTTTTATCTATATATATACACATATATAGATATATATTAAGTCCAGAAACTAAGCAGCAGTAAAAATGTTTTTCTTGCTTTTCATCCCTGTACATAAGGTATTAGGAATGTCTGAAGTAGCTGGAAAAATGTCTTATTGCACCATCGGGGATTGACTGACACTGCTGTTATCCACTGAACTGGGTGAGATACTGGGACTGTGTTCTGCAGTATTTCCGTTTGAGGTTGGTGTCAGTGGTTCATGTCCTTCAGAGTTCTCCAGCATTTCCTGAATGAGAGGTGGCATGGATCCAGGAATTTCCATTTTCAACGTAATGACACGTTCTGCACCTTTAAAAAGAAAACAAAAAGTCCTTTCCATTAGTACGAATGATTCATACCATTTCCTTTCAGTTAGCATCATCAGTAGTAATTTCAGGGTACACTATTTTAATGGATTTCATGTCTACTACTTGCATATAACATTATGCAAGTGAACTGCCAGAAAAAGGACCCCTTAACAAATTAATTTGCAATTATGACGTAGCAACTGATACTGCAATACAGGCAAACTGGTAGAACTGCTGCTTTTTATAGAAGGAACCAAAATAGTCTTAAGTTACACTGAAAAATTAAGCTAAACTGTGATCATGTAGATCTCTTCATAGATTGGAACATATTTTACAGATTTTAATCTGCAAAGACTACAGAATAATAAAAATTCTGCTGATCTGCATTAAACAGGGGAGGTGAATCCTGTCACAGAACTGCAGTGATGCAAATCAGAACATTTCTTGCCCATGTAGAAAATGGTGAAATAAGAATCACAGAATCACAGAATGTCAGGGGCTGGAAGGGACCTCAAAAGATCATCTAGTCCAGCCCCCTGTCCAGAGCGGGATCACCTGCAGTAGGTCACACAGGAAGGCCAATGGCATCCTGGGGTGTATCAGAAGGGGGGTGGCTGGTAGGTCGAGAGAGGTCCTCCTGCCCCTCTACAAATAAGAATCAAGAATTTAACAACCTGCTGTTTTATAAAGAACAAATCCAAGTAAAAATATTATTTTGTCTGGTGAACCTGCCTTCTGCAGTTTTCAGGCATCTTCTCTTGTGCTAGTTAACCACAAAAGCACACAGAAACACTAAGACTGTTCACACCTGACAGCTGAGGCAGACTCTTCAGTGGTTGGCCTTGTCACAACAGGCAGTTTAATACAGAGGTGGCTTTGCAGGCTTGTGTGTAGGATTAAAAGTTACAACACTGATCCTGACTGCTCAGCCAACAACCAGCGCTGGTTTGGGGTGGGAGAAGAAGCATGAAGCCACATCACAGCACCTGATGCTCCCAAGAATTTGTCAGGGCTTCCTGCACAGGCACACAGGGCAGCTGTACCAACAGGCAGACACCTCACAGCCCGCAGCAGCCACTGTGACAGTACAGCAGGAGAGGAAGCCTGCATTTAAAAAAAAACCAACAAAAAAAAAAACAACCTGCCAAGATCCTGCCTGACATGGTGCAGTTAACTCCGAGGGATTACTAACTTAGTATAAACACAAGAATCCTTAAATGCTGGATGGACAAAACTTCCCAGTGAAAGGCTGTTACTGGGAAATGCCTGATCAGTAGCCATAAATCTCAGCATTCAAATACCTGGTCTAACATGTAGGATTCCTGATCATCTTACATTTTGAGTCTAATGGCATAAGAATCTGAGCTTTTTAGGTGTGAAGGAAGGCAAGAAGAGCCAACAAAGCCAATGAGAAAATAGTCTGGTTATTGAAGATACGGTCCAGAGGAGAGAACCTTTGGATCTGTTCTGCTGCTCTGTACATGCTGGAGAGCACCCACTGCCAGCCCCAGCGGTAACCCCAAGGCAGAAGGGAGCACACACAAATTCATGCCTTAACTGAGGAGCTTCAAAAATCATCTGCAAAGGCAATGAGCAGCTTTCCAAGTGAATGCTGATTAAAAAGTCCCTTAAATAACCGTTAGGAACAAAGGGGCAAGCTCTGTAAGTGGAAAGGAATTAATGCAGCATTACGCTGAGCACTTTTCTGAAAACCATCTGCCGTCAGAGCAGTGTTGATGAATTGAATCCGGCCACGTTCATATCTGCTTTTTGCTGCTCGGGAGTGGGCAGCTGCAGTACCAAGTGCTTGTGGCGTTCTCCCAGTGCAGAGCCACGGTCATTTCTCGGGTCTCGCAAACTCCTGATTTCATACTGGGAGAAGAGAACTCAGAATAGGGTCTCTTGCTTCAGTCTGACAAATGCTTAATTCTTTTGTTACAATACAATGCTGCAGAAGAACGTGTTTGCATACGGAACTCCAGCATGAGGAGACTTTCTTGCTCTTTTTGGGTACGTGCTTATACTTTGGTAATTGCTTTCAGGGCTCATGTTCCGTCAAAAGCCATTATCTTCTAATGTACATCTTCCTTTTTCAATGAAACTCCAAGACACACCCACCCTTCTAAAACCTCACTGGTCCTTTGGTGTGATTCAGTTCTATCATAAAACATTAATGATATAAATAAATGTCACAATAGAAAGAAGAACTTTTTCTTCTACACTGAACATAAAGAGACAGAGGTGGGTTCTTGAGGAGCTGGAGGGCTCTAGCAAAGAAGCAGGAAAGTAGAAATAGATTTCCCATAAGCAAGAACAGCAGAATGAAAGGGCTACCCTAAATATTTTTATAGCTCAGTACTGTGACAAGTTTACTTTGTAGACTCAGTTGGATGAAGGTTGCTTTACGTGAGGGTAAACTGGAAGCTTTAGATAACCTGGTAAGGGGTTTCTTTTTAGGGTACTTTTGCTTCCAGCTCTGGTGTTTCCATTCTAAGTTACTCTTTTGGTAATAAATTCCATTAAATTGCTCACTTCTTTTTATAAAAGCTACAGCTTAATCTTCTACCTTAAATATATACTGTTTGAAATGTAACAGTCCAGGTTTTAATGTAAAACAAGTGTATTTGAGTGATTTAACCTTTAGGCTTTTGTCCCTAAAGCCTTCTCAAATACCATGTCAAATGAAACTAGCTATTTTTTCAAGAGCATATATCCAACCCATAGCTACATAGGTACCTGCCCATACAGGCTCATGTGCTTACTTATCTACCTGGGGTAGTAAATCTGTAGTTGAGTAAGCATAGTAAGAAAGTGGAACCACATTAACCACTGTAAAATATAAGAACTGGAGCACTTTAGACTCTCTGTGTTCAGGCCAGCACATCTCTGACACAGCTGCCCAGAAGTCTGGAGGTGAACAGGTGTGAAACAGCTGGACACATCTGAAACTGGGTGTTGGGGACACAAGAGGGGTACACAAGCGAGAAGAGGACAGCCATGTTTGGAGCCACAGCCCGGGGCGAGCAGGCGTGCGCAGAGGCTGCCCACAAGGTGACAGCCCGCTGGGTGTCCACGGCTGCTTTGAGAAGAGCTGCCCGGCCTCCTGCCACGGGCTGCACCCCTCGAGCACAAAGCACTAAGTGGGAGCTCTCTGGTGACATGAAAGCATTCAGCTATGCCCGTGCTTTAGAGAACTTATGTGCTTAAGCCTGCATCTATTTTGCTTGATGATTCAATCACTACAAGACTACATGAAATGTTGAAACAAAATTATTGATGTGCAAAGTTTGGTTAGTTTGGATCACAAGTGCTGCATCTCCAAAATCCTGGATCAAATCAGTTCTAAATCTTCAGTACATCAGACCACAGTTTAGGGTGATTGTGGATGCACAAGTGTTTTCTGCTGTTTGTCAACAGAGTTTCATGTTTAAAGGTTATTAGTGATACAAAGTACATGTTGACTCTGCCCCCTTGTACAAATTAACAAAGGTTTAATTCAGGGTTTTAGCTTTTCTTAAAGGACTAACAAAGAGTTCATGCTAATGATTTGCTAACCTACTTACACCTAAGACGTCATTTTCACTTTAAGTGGCATGAGTTAAATTAAAAAAAATAACATCCCAACAACCCAGGTGTCTAGGCCAGCCTCCACTGAAACGTAAGACTGACCCTATCGCTGAATTATTGGGAGACACTGTACCTTTTGCACTGATGCTACGAAGATCTGTGATTTTCATTAAGATCTTTGGGAACATATGAGGCTTGTTGGGTCGTCTCTTCCGGATATAAATTTTCAGTGCTTCAAGCAATGGTTCCTGAAGCTTATCCACTTTCATTGGTTCTTCAAGGTCCTGGCGGTCTGTAGAAAAGTATCATAGCACTTGTATGATTTTAAATATATTTCTTTTTGCAAACTGCAAATCACAGAAGCTCCTCTGTATTCCTCATTAGAACTCCATGATTTCAACTTTCCCTCCACTTACCCACGCTGTAGTGAGTATTCCATAGGAAGACGCCAAACCATGGCTCCCTGAAATTTAGGTTAATTTTTCCTTGGTGACGGGAAAGGTTTGTCATCTGAGTGGTCCAGAATTACCAGTTTGCTCTTTTGCCTCTCTCTCCAAGGGGAAAACAGCTTGGTGCAAACAATCTTTCAGAATTAATTTTGTATGCGTCATCGGTAAGCTACCTAGAGTATACAAAGAGGCTACAGCTCATTTGGTTTTTTGTGCCAATACTAAAATAAAGTGAGTTACTACCAGGTATCAGCAGATGGCAGTGCTAGCTTGAGTGACAACAAACGTCACCCACAGACCAGGATGCACTAGTCACATCTTAATGGCATCTCAGAACCCATCAACGCTTTTGATGGGTTACAGTTAGAGACACATAAAATCGGAACGATTTTGTACTAAAGGGCCATTGTCAACAAAAAATGACTTGTTTTTCAAGCATTCTCTGGTAGCACCCAGTCTGTTTTTCAACAAAATGGCCCAACTAAACATGTGTTTCTGTTGCTGGTCAATATTGGGCAAAAGAGGAGAGAGATGAGGGGATTAAAAATAACAGACATTTACAGAGGATTTTGGAAGTGAGTTTTGAGACTTGGCTTTTTATATTTTAAAACCATGATTTTACCTGATTTGATTTGACAAAGTCCCTTTTGAGTTGTAATCAGCCTCCCCCAAATCATGTCATCAGTGCCACTATGCTAATTTTGAAGTATAATCTGTGGGGTAACTATATGCTAAGCATGCAGGTATATTTATCAGTAAATACTGCGTACCGCGTAACAAAGGTAACAAAGTTCATTCATACAGGTACACATAGATCGCTTAATAAAAATACAGGAGGATATATCCTGTTGCCCTTTGTCAGGCAAATAATAGAATCAGTTGCTTGACAGAATGATTCAATTCATTTAAAACGTATCAGTAATAAAACCAATAACTATGACCAGTGGAAACCAAACCTTTAGTGTTAAGGGATTTATATAACATATATAATAATAGTACAGATATACATATATTTTATATATGTGTTTTAGTACAGGAAAGCAAAACGAGTAAAACATAGATGATCTTATTGTATCTGTCCTTTTCAAATGCATCCAAGCTTGTGCTATACGATACCTCCACAGATTAAGCAGATGGCACTAAGGAGACCCGTTTCTGTATCATCCATTTCCAAAGGCAGGAGCTGGTTGGCAAACGTGAACACGAGATCAGTCAGCGGGCCAAATCCGGCGTTGTGCATCTGAGTTCGGTTTAGGGTAAGGCCATCTGAAAATGTCATGGTGTCTTGTTCTGGTGTGTATCTTGTGCAAATTCTAAGGATCTGTGGGAGGACATAAAAAAAAAAATAAAATTCAATCCATGAGAGGTTTGTTGCATTTTCTCAACCTGGCATATGAACCACAGAACTGCAGTACATGGGCACATCAAACCTGAGATCTAACTCCAGTTTGTTCAGTTCTTGTGGCAAAAAAATTCTTTGGCACAACATAAATATAGTCAATTGACTATGTGTAGTTTTAAGAACAGAAACTTATGAACAGAATTATTGTCCCTCGTTATGAAATAATCAAAACTTCTGTGCAAGTCTTACCACTTTGGTCACCAACACTATCATAATATTCACAGAAACCACTCTTCAATGAGTATGTTAGACATCCCTCACCACAAAACGCTGCTGCACTGCTGACCTGATCCAAGTAAGATCATAAAAATTAACACACACACACACACACACACACTCACACATACACACACACACACTCATACACACACTCACACACTTCATTGCTTTTGGGCATCAGTTTTGCATGACAGCGCTTCTCTGCGTTGTGTCTTTGGTAATGACAAAGTGTCTTTGTGGCGTGAGTGAGGGCAGGGAGCTGGGAGTTGGTCGAAGAGGCTGGCTGTGAGCTGTGCTTGGGGGGCCTCTCTCTCTTTTGTGAGAACACAACCCGTGTGAGGGCTCGTCAGAGAGCAGTGCCAAGCCTTCCTTCTCCCCAGCAGCCCCAGGTGCAAGCCCCGGGGACAGCGCTGGTTTTGGCAAAGCTTGCTTGTACACTGACAGCCACCCAGCCTTGCTCTCTGAGGAAAGACCTTTGGAGAGGAGGATGGGGATTTGTGCGTCGAGCTGGACATGGGAACATGAGCACGTGAATAAAACATGCTGAATAAAAGCATGCTGAATAAAAGAACGCTCTGCATTTTGTTGGGAAATGCCTCTGGGGTAACCACAGCATTGAGAGTGCTGTGATGGCAGAGGTGGTGGCATGGCCAGAAAGAACACGTGCGCGTACGCTTTTGCGTCTCGGAGCAAACCCAGGATGTGTCCCATAGTAGACTCTGCAATGGCAGAGACTCATTGTACAGCTGCTATTAATGAACACTGCCTTAAGGATCAAATAAAAGAGATATCCATCATGTTGACATATTTCTGTTACATATATCAATGCTTAATGTTTAAAACAATCAGAGGTGGATGAAGGCTTATCCCTGAAATAAAATAAAACCTCGCAGAAGTCTAGCTGATTAGCTGAGCTAAGACTACAGCTGTATTTTTTCAGGGTTTGACTATTTATTTCCCCTACAGCCATCCTACTCGATTTTAAAGATTCAACACAAAAGATTTACACGAATATAAGTGAGCGCAGGGAGAAATTTAATTATTCCTATAGCTGCCGAAGCTCTGAGTCAGAGGCTCCAGCGCTTGGCAGCTGACCAGCCTGGGCTTGGTTCTTCCACTTTCATCTTTGCCTGGCAACGCTGCTCCAAATAAGCAGGGAGGAGAATGAGGAGGACATGGCATGCAAGAGACCTACAGGGAAGTTTCTATTTCTCTTCTTAAATTCCTCAGTAAGAGGCTTAATAGGGTGTATTTCTGCAGAAGGCTCTTCAACTGTTTTCCATCTTAGCAATAATCTTATCTCATACTGTGGGTATACACTGAAGAACCAAGATTCTATGTGGTTGAACAGGCGTGTTTCACATCGTTCCCCTATTCTCAGTTAGAATAAACTCTTGAAATTACTTGAATCAATGACCAAGAGAGGCCCAAATATGAACACATGGCACTCAAATTCTTCACTGACCACAAATCTCCCACTAATATAAGTGATCTTAAAAGGCTGCTGCTAACTACAAAGGTTTTATGTAACAGTCAAAGTGTACTTCATTATTATGAGCAGAAATAAACATTATAAAGCATGACAACCTGTCAATAAGCACGTTTACCATATTCTGCTCTGCCAGTAACAACCGGCAATTCTCTCCCCTGAAATTCGCTATTGGTTATCCTTTTAAATCATTAAAAGCATTGTATAGAAAGGAGAAGTAGCAGGCAGAGCTTGCTGTTTCAAGAAAAGCGAGGTTTGAAAACTTTGTTTATTTATTAAGGAACCCAAGATCTGCTTAGTTCACTTCTCCAACGGCATGCAAGAGAAACGGGAGTGCACCTCTTCCTATCCAAAGCCTGCACATACAGCAGCTGCCTTCCAGTCAGGGTGCATGGCCTGTGGTCATCAGGTACCCCACTCTGGGAGCGGTCATCCCAAAAATCCCAGAGGCTGAACTTGTGCCTCCTGCCACACCACAGGCTGCTGGCTCCCTCACTGCAAAGCTCTCCCTGCTCACCCCCACCCCGTGCCGTAAGCCCCGCTCGATTTGGGGGTGCTCAGCACAGATCTGATATATCACCTTCCCCTCCTGGGGCTAATGCAGAGGCTGGATCTCATCAGGAATGAATCTGGTGTTAGGTTACAGGGCCCTTGCAAAAAATTTGTAATTAAAACATAAAGGTCCCATTGAATTTAGCTGCCTCTGGGCGTAGGCAGCAAAGCAGGACAGCCTATCGCAAAAGGCAGACTTCAGGCTTTGTACCTGAGTGCTGCGAACAGCTGTTGCCCCCAGGAGCCGGTGCTGGCTGTGCCTGCACCGGCATGGCTGAAGCCCAACTATGGGTCTTCTGCAACACTCTTAGCTAGACTGAAGCAACTGGGTCTCAGGTTTCTCCTGCATTCCTTCAACATCAACCCACAACACACTTATTAAACTCTAAGACAAATTATTTGAAATGTGATTTTTTAAAAAAAAAAAATTTGCATCCTTCAACAAGATCTGCGAAATGCCATTGATATCGCTGATGCGCTGCTAAACCTTTCCTGGGCAAACTTCCAGTGTCAAAGTGAAGCTGATTTAAAGCTCATATTTTCTGAAGAACATATGGGAAATGTCAGCACTTCAAAATAAGAAATCACGGAATCCTTCTCCATTTTAAACTGAACCACTGTCTAGAAAACATCCTCCTAATGTCCTCAATGTTGTTTAGATTTTGTAACCAAGCCAAGTATTTTAGTTGTCACTCTGCTCTTAAATGCCACTTGCAGACATAAATTTCTTGCTCATGATGAAAGGACCCTTTGTTTTAAGGAATATTTTTATCTTAAAGCATCTGGGGTTCCTACAGGCCAGTTATAAAATGCAAAGCAAAAAATCCTATGGGTTGCACAAAATCATCCAGAAAGTTCCATTTTGCTATAGGTGAGCAAGAATTTTTTTTTAAAAGAAGTTATCTGAAGAGATGCCAGTGGCCTTAGCTGGCTGGGACAGTTTCCCAAGAGGAGAAACCCAAGCAGGTAGGTGACTCTGAAACAACAAACAAATCTCCACAGCACTGCCATACCCCATCAGCATGGGTTATTCCGCCTTCCCAGCATTAATATGGAAGATTTTAAAACAAAGCAAAAATTACATTATTAAGGACTAGTATTCAAGACTTCTAAGTTTTTACCCATTGGATTTAAGACAGGCTGGACTCTGGACTCTCTGCACATTCATTTTGCTTGGGGATGCTTGACCGTTGCCAGGTCAGCATCCCAGCAGACAGAAGCACTCACTTTTATGAGTTACTGACTGAATTTAATATTTATCCCCGAAACTTTTGGCATCGGAGTAGATATAAATTCCACCATCCTCAATCGGCTTCTTCAGCTGCCTTGCGATGCTTGATGTTATTTCCCTTCCAGAGATTTTGCTTGCTTGTATATAAAACAATCTGCTGGCACACACTCAGCGGAGTTTACTGAGCTCCTGGCACTGCTTCCTTTGTCGGCTTCTTTAAGGGGAGGGGGGGTTAAGCATCTACGACCACAGGAAGCAACCCAGCAGAGCCCTTGGCAGGGTCTATAAATGCTTAAGACGCCCCATCACACTCAGCCAGACCTGCTGCTGGGTGGGCAGGCAGCGAAGCCGAGGTCCTGCTGTTGGGGGGACCCCAGCATCGCCAGTGCACCCCAGTCAGGCTCACCCCACGCCAGGCAGGGCTCACCTCGTGAGAAGGCACCAGCAGTGGGTGCTCACTCCCTGTCTCGAGGTACCAAACAAAACATCTGAAAAACTCCTCATAATTAGGAAAACTAGCTTGCTGGTGGTAGGGGGAGGAAATAGGCGCTATTAAAACAGTGCTCCAAGTGCTGAAATTTAGCTTAAAGAACGACACGGAGCTGTGCTGCAATTCCGAAGATGTGCAGGTGATGTGGATTTAATGGATATGGGCATTTCACAGGCAGCACGTGCACTACACATTACTGCGCTCAGGGTAATTATATCTTTTTCTTTTTAAGCTGCACATAAAATAGTCCCATAAACCTTGTATAAATATCGCGCAGGGAAAGTTATGACTCTTTGTGGCAACCATGTCTTCTCTGCTCCTTTTTTTGCAAAAAACCCAGTTCCTCCCTACTACAGATATCTGTGGCAATCATTACACCCTGCTTGCTCAGATGTGTCACCTTCTCCAGCTTCACAAAAAATTAAAATAGCGAACGAGGAGGTGATCGGGAATGACAGGTCTCAATAGAAACACAGAAACATCAAGGTTGGAGAGGATCTTAAGATCATCAAGTCTAAGCTACAGCCCTACACCACCCTAACACTAAACCATCTCCTGAAGTGCCACATCCAGCCATTAAAGCTTTTAACTAGAGCTTGAAGATTGTCACATGGCCACAAAATAAAAACGGTGAATTGTATTAAAGAATCCGCCCATTCTATCCGTTAACTGGTTGAAATAAAGTCACCTGGTTCATTATTATGCTTCTAATCTGGCAACTAAGCTTTTATTTAGTTGCTTTGATCAAAGGCTGGGAAGTGCCTTTATCCAGGCACTTTAGATAAAACCGCTGACAGAAAGGCTACCCCTGAACACCTGATACTGCCCAGCCAGCGGTGGGAGCTGCAGGGGGACCCCGCGCAGCAGGGGCTGTGCAGGTCCCCAGGGCAAGCTCCCACCTGCTGCCCCAACAGAGCGTGCCAGGAGCTCGCGGGATCCCGAGTGATGACAGAATCAGGGTGTGCTTTTCTACCAGCAGCTACGGAGCTGGGGCATGGCAGCAACAAATAGGGGGTGCCAGCTTATAAGCTGAATTTTTAGGGGTAAAGAGTTTGGATGCGCAGATTTTCACTATATCCTGACTCCTCCCTGCCATTTTCAGGTAGTTTCTGTATTAACCGTTAGTTACTGGTTACAACAGCAAAGCGCAAAGCAGTTCCCGTGCCCACCCCTCTGGCAAACTGCACTTGAGCCAAGGGCATAGCTGTGTGCCTTTCGATGTAAGGGGAAAGAGACTGTGTCTTATTGGGACAGAGCTGGCGACAGCAGGTGTGCAACTGGTAACAACTGGCCCTGCCCTGCGGAGGGACCACACACAATAATGGTGAGATGGTCAAGTCTGAATGAGCACCTGGATGAAGGGGACAAGGAGAGGTGAATCTCGAGCACGGCAGGGCAACCTCAACTTTCCCTTTTCTTATAGGCTGGAGAACGATATCCCTTCCCTCTCCCACCTCTCCTTCATCAATGTCCTCCAGATGCGATTCTTCAAAACAGCTTTTGACAAAACAAGAGGAAAAGGTCACAGCAGTTAACGTCCTCCTCAATATGATCCTGTTTGAAGCAATGCACTTCTAGAAATTCCAAGATTAATTACTTCAACTTCAAATTCCCTAGTTTAAACTCCTCTGCCATGTCAAAAAATGTATCTGCAGTAGCTATCCTACAAGGGGCTTCTTGGCTATGCTCGACTCAATGAAGACCTGAAGGTTTTTGCTAAGAAGAAAACATGTAAAATATGTTTAAAACACACTGAAAATACTCTTTTACTGAAAATTATTGCTATGAGCGACAATAAGAAGCATGTTTACCGCTAAGAGCCTGAAGACCTCTAAGGTCTTGATAAAGAAATGCTGAAATCCCAGAGGGCTCTTCTGAAGGTCAGCGTGACAGAAACAACCAGAGACAAAGGGAGGGAAGACAGCTTGCTTTGACACAATGGCAGCACAAGGTCTGCAGAAAAACCCTATCCACCTGCACAGTTCCCTGCTGCAGGTTGCACACTTGCCTATTTAAAATTAAATTACATTTAGCTAAAATATGCACAGAGTCCATTACAATGTCCACTTCCATGGGTGCCCGCAGCACTGGTGAAAACGGGGGGAGCAGTGTGCCAGAGGCTTGCACCTGCTGGCCTTCAGGCACACCAGTTACCCCTCCATAATCTGCAGAACCCTCACACTGAAGACTCCTATCCTGTTCCTCAAATTATCTCATGACGACAGGTACAGCACGTTCCTGAAATGTTGTACAGCAGGACTCTATCCTTTATACACAGCATTATGTTTTGGAAGGAGGAGGAAGAAGGAAGGAAGGAGAATCAGATCTCTCTCTCAGCAGTGTTAACAATAAGGAAATTTTTCCAAAGTTCCAAAGAAGCTCCCTCCCTGGAAGTGTTCAAGGCCAGGCTGGATGGAGCCTTAAGCAATCCGGTCTAGTGGGAGGCATCCCTGTCCATGGCAGGGGGGTTGGAACTTGATGATCTTTAAGCTCCCTTCCAACCCAAACCACTGTATGATTCTATGATTCCATATTTGAAGCTAGTGCCACAACACCAAACTATGCCCTTCTTGCAGCTATACTGAAATTCACAACCTATAAAGACTTATTTTGAAAAGCACGTTCATCCCATATAACATGACTGTAGCCATGCTAGAGTCCATTCATGACCATACCAGACTACTCGGTAAGTTCAATTTTGCAATCATAAGGCTGGGGCAGTATTTGACCCCCTCTCCCTATCAATTACAGCAGAAAGAAGAACAGAAAATACATTAGGAGAGTAACAATGATGTTAGAAATACATACCAGTATATCCAGGCAGGCTGCTTTAAGTAGAGTTATCTGGTCTGCAATGGTCAAACTTGTGAAGCCTGGCAATCGCTTTGCAAATTCCACTATTTTAATAATGCACTTTGTTGCAAGTTCGCTGAATTTGTCCCAAAGCCCGAGGTCCAGTCGAACCCGATGATCTGCGCTGGAGTTCTGGAAAGACAGAGAGAAGGCACCATAAATCAACAACATCCCTTTCAGTAAATGGTTTTCAAGGGAAAGAAACAACAAGTATTTCTTCCAGAAGTACTTTCTATTAACATTCCAGGCATTTTCTGCAGCTTGCTGTTGGGATGATGCTGGTTTTAAACTTGGATTAATCGCTTGAAAATTCCTTGGATATTTCTCTGTTACTTACGATTGCAGAGGCCATCTGTACATGGAATACAAATGAACTTAAACATTTCCAAATGCCACTGTCATTATTCTTCCTTGCCATTATATAATCAGTGCATTGAAAGAGACAATTTATAGTTGTACCCCAGAAAATATAAATGAACAGTGGAACAAAAATATTGGATCCTCATCTGGAAAAAGCAGCACAATATTTGGAACATACTTCCACATACTTAAGGTCTTAGCAAATTAGTTCTACTTAATTTATCTGCTCTGTGGCTCTGCAAGAGTTTTACAGCATTCTCGTACTACAGTGTCCCATGAGTGAAAAAACACTTCTTTACACGACGTCAGGAAAAATACCATGTGTGCTGATGAATGTTAGAGGCTTCTTTGACCGTGCATCCAACATGCACCTACCATTTGAAGTGTTACAGGGACACTGCAGCTGTATCTTTCAGAGACTGTTTCCATATATTCACGTATCTTAACCCAAAAGCCTGTAATTTGCTAGTATGCGTAGCAAATCCATGTTAAATTTGTGATTAAATGCATGTTTTCATTCATTTGGAATAACCACTTAACCTGTGAAAAAGTTAAACATGTCAACCAAGAACAGCCTGACTCAAAAGTTTCTCTGATCTATTTGATGCTAGACCAACAAAACACGGTGTGATGGGGAGACTTCATCAGTTGTTTCCAACCTGTCCCTTAATCTCATGGGGTGACAAGAAACAGGTAACGACAGAGCTCTGAAATACCCGAGGCCTCTCTCCTCCTTCCCCATCACGCAGCATGTTTGAATTTTGCCAGCATTTGATCCAACGCTGCTTGGGATGCAGCCAGCGTAACGGTCCCGCCCCACTAATTCATGAGCCACCAAGTTCATCGAGTGCTGCAGCTGCCCTCGGCATCTGCACAAGAGGGATTTTACATCTCCACTGCGAGAGGAATGCTACCTGTAAAAACACGCTGGTAAGCAATTTGCAAAACGTGCTGTGCTGCAACCACAGAAAAAACAAAGGCAGCGTGTCACTCTCCCATGTCTCATCTGAGCTTGTTGACTAACCAGGAAAGATGGAGATATCTCCAAAAAAGGTCTCACCCACTCCAGGTAGGTACTTAAGGCAGGTGAAGGAAAATCCTTTCTGATGGCAGCTTTCCCCCCAGCTGCAAGGGAAGGCGATGTGATCAGCTGTCTGGAGTTAAAATGTCAAATTAACTTCAAGATTAAAGTCAGATGAGAGGACTCTCAACCTGAAAGTCTCACGGGCATGGCAGACAAACAGCCATCAACAAGCATTCAATTTACACAGATAGCACTGTCTTGGAGGAAGCCTCTCTGTGGGAAGACCCTGCCACCGTCGCTGCTGATGGTAAGGATGCCCACCTCCTCGGAAACCTCCAGCCACCAGCTTTCTCTGGGTCATGGGAAGGACACAGGGCCTGAAGAGGTCGATGAGGGCATGTGGGGTGAGCTCAGCCTGGCTGTGATGCTCTGTCACCCCCTCCTAGGGCTACTTGGGCAGACGCCACGAGTGCCCTCAGTCACGAAGGGGAAAGTCCTGACGGCTCCCAAGGGTGCTGCCAGCTTGACATCCATCCTTCACTTGCAGCAGGGTGGAGATTCGAGCCAGAAATAATAACATTAGGCCCTTATTGAAAAGAAAAAAAAAAAGCTAACCAGGCCAAACGGTTTGACGATGCATACGTGTTCTTCTCTGCTCCCACTCTTTTTAAGGGATAAGAAATTAACTTCATAATTTCTATTTGAAATTTTATTCTGGGGCCTTCCTCTATCTTGCTTTGGTTTCTAAAATGACAGAAGAAAAGACAGGAGAAAATGTCTTTATAATCCTAAGCCTAAAGAATTGCCTTCAAAATGGTCCAAAACTAATGGGTTAACAGTCATTGTAATGCCCTTTGAAACATTTCTTTCAGCTACTGGAGTATGCATCCCTCAGATTTATTTTATTTCATCCTCAAGGACCTTGGTGAAATACAGTACATTGGAGGAAAAATAAGATCAAGATGTGCAGTCATTCAGGCTGTAATTAAATTTAATAGGCAGTTTATCCAGTTCATAGAAAGATGGCATAGCAGAGAGCTACACAAAGCAGAGCCTAAAGCAGGAAATCATTTTACAATAGGGTATCCATCTGGAAAAAAAGACGTTGCATGAAACCAGCAAGTGTGAACGAAATCTTCATCAGTATCATATGAGGTTACTTTATCACGCTGCAGTCCCGGCAACGGGAAGTTTGACATGTCTTCTATTAAGAGTAATGCACGGCCATCTTAACAAATGTAAATCTAACTCACTATTATGCAAACTGAAGGGAAGGGGCAGTTAATAAAATACAAAATATCCAAGTGCTTTATTATGCTGAGTGCCAGATTCCTCAGCACTGGAGCTAGTGTGGTTTATGCATTATCTCCGAAATGCTACAAATGGGAAGAATTTTAACATTTTATTTGGTAACGAGCGTAGTTGCAAGTGTCACGGAAAACAGCTTTTTAGCAGCATTTCTGAATATGTAAAACTGACTCAGTTATCAAAGTATAGGTTGAACAATAAAACACAGGGTTAATAAAATGCATGTTAGAAACTCTGATTAAATTTGCCTGGGGAGGTCCTATAACCACGCTGTGAAAAAGATGCAGACGCTATGACTTTTCCTCACTATTTCACCAAAGCAGTTTTTTGGGTGTCTTTTCCAGGAGCAGTCTTGCATGTTTTTCAGGCCTATGCACCAGCGCACATATGGTGGAACAATACTGTAATACACCCTGGTGGCATCTTTATCAGCGGAAAAGCCCAACCTTGCTATGAAATCCAATTAAACAGCCATTTTTGCCACATAAATTGATCCCATTTTTTCCATCATTTTGTTTTTTCATTGCTGCTCCATCTCCACATTAACGATACGGGATGAGGTACTCACAGAAACACACACAGCAGCAGAATCCCTGCCGTCTTTAAAATCCACTTTACAAAGGAAACAAGGCTCACAGGGGCACTCTGCCCTAATCAGGAACACTTGCTATGCCTCTTTAGTAAAAGCGGCAATGCACTCTGAGCTCCGGCAAGTTCGCCGAGGACCACAGCACACATCTCTGCTCAGTCCCAGAATCAGGAGATAGATACATATCTCCATATATATACACACACACACACCTCTGCAATGGTACAGAACAATAGCCATGTAACTTCTAAGACCGGCAGTTCCAAAAGCCCAAATGCCGCTGAAATGACAAACCTCTGTGCTTCCAGCCAGCCAAGGGCAACCCAGGAGAACCCGCAGCAAGGGCTCGCAGTCAAAATTATTTTCTGGTTTATCCTCCCTTTATCACGCGGCTGGATGTAACACAGCTGTAGACTTACAAATAATACCAGTCTCGTGGGACAAGCAGTATAGTTACACTCAATTATACTATAAAGTATGACATCTCCAGAGAAATTACTAAGGCACTCTCTCTTACCTGGATGACAGTGATAAAACAGATCTATTTATGATGGACTTTTGAAATCCATTATGTTTAAACAGCTTGCTGATTCTCATCATCGGCAAAACTACACTTCCCACTGCCCACCAAATGCAACTGTTAAGTCAAATGACCCAGGGAATTTAATACAAGTGCTATTCTCCCATTATTTTAAGTAGACTTTTATTAACTATGCAAAGTATGGTAATTATTGCAGATTGCAACATTTTTTCTTTTTAAAGAGCAGACGGATATATAAAAACCCCGTAATTGAAAATGCTTCTCCAAAACCATTTTTGTCCAGATAAAAATACACAATGGGGGGAAAAAAATCACCACATAACCTTTCCCTCTGGGAAGCACAGGCTGCAGTGCTCAAGAGCAAGAGGAGCCAGATAGGCAAGCCAAATATCTGAACAGATTTTGGTTTTTTATGACTGTATCTTTGCAAGGTCTTTTTTACTCCACTCTCTTATACTCTAAATTCTTTGTTCTTTCATGTTTTAAATCAGTATGAATGAGCCCATAACTGAAGGTGCACAGAGGCCGCACTTGCAGAACAGTTTCTTCCATCCACCGGGTCTACTGGTACGCAAGTGCAAAGCTCATGAAATTCAAGTGAATGCACATAAATTCAATACACTCTCTCCCACTTCTCGCTTAAAGAATTAAATAAAAAACTGCAAGGTTACAAAGGCAATCTGCATTCTCTGCAGTGTGAGCGTGCCACAGGACTGGTGGCGACCTTCTATCTAGCTTGTTACTATCAAGAAAAGTAGAGTTGCACAGGCTTCAAACTCCCCTCGGACTCAGCATTTAGATAAAGGACTGTGTGCTCCTTTTTTTTTTGACTTCTGGAGTCTATTTCATTTTTCTCAAAAGGAAAGATTATGGTCCAAGCCCTGCTGCTTGATCAGCAGCTGGTGGTGTCGCCTAAGCACCGACGCTGTTCTCCTCAGACCAGCATGCACACCTTCCGACCTCCCAGATCCGCCTGGATCCTCCACTGTCGCCAAAAGGCTTCTCCCCTGCTCCTGTGCCAATGACGGACAGCTGGAGATGAGGATGACCCCTCCTCCAGCCCCAGCAGCACTCTGTCCCTTCCAGAGCTGGGCAGAGACAGTGTTCCTAAAACTGACCTCTTAACACTGAACTCCTACCTGAAAAGCTGGAGTGGTCTGCAGATTTTAGCCAGATGAGAGATTTAAATACCCTGCATTTCACACAGAGACTATGAGAATGCAGCAAGAAGACAAGTGTTTAGCATGGCTGCTATTAGTTTTGACACAGCTGTTGAAGTATTGCTCTCAAAGATTCAAGGTAAGCCAAAAATAACTCCTCCAGTGTAATTTTGTTATTGCATCTTGTATAGCAGCAAACCATGACAAAGCAGCAGGGACTTGGCCACGTGCAGTTAACCACTGCAGACCTCCACAAGAGCAAGAAATCTCTTTCCTCAATCTGTCGATCTGGCCTGAAATATGAATGACCAACATCCAGCCTCAGAAAACATGTGGTCAGGTTGTGGATACGTGGGACCCATAGGCACACCAGATTCATCCGCTCATCCCTTAGATCCAGGAGCTCTCCATCAGGGCTCTGAAATTCCAACAGGAACATAAGCTGGTCGGCAGGAACCCAAGGACAAAGGCATCAGTACAGGAGTGGGTACGATACGCGACAAGACCCTCTCCAATTTCACCCACCTGTAAGATTTCAAGAGCTAAAATACCAGTGCTACTTAAGTATCCGACACATAATGCAAGCACATAGGTGCCCAGGTTCACCTCTCAACCCTCCAGAACCTTTGGCAGCGGTACAAGGTACCACCACACTGGCCACAGTGTGCTCTTCAATCTCAGAGGTAACGGGAGTACGGACCAACGCGCACGTCGGGAGGGATGCCGACACACCGTTATTCTGGGATACCCAGGCCATTTATTCGCAAGGCAGCCTGTGAGCAACAGCCTGGCTAGGCGTCCCAGCTGCATACATACAAACACCTCTTCTATGTGGCATAAACTCTTTGAACTGGGAGGAGTTTTTTCACACTCATTCAGAAGTGCTCTTGGGTTTGCAGGAGGGCGGCAGCCTGTTTGGAAGAATTGTTCACTCCAGAGACGAGGATACGACCGCACGTGCTGAGAGAAGGGGTGGAGAGCATTAACGCAGGAATTTTTTTGAAAACGCATGCTACAGATCCCGCCGTCTCCAGCTTTGCCTTCGGTTACGTCACCAGCTGTTCTTGAGCTTCCAGCCTCGCACACTGCGCTAGTGCCCGGGGGTCTGCCTGTGCAGTATTTACCAGCATGCCTACACTCAATGTTTCGCCTACATCTCACCTGAACTGGGCTAGCACCAGAGAAGCATGTGGGGGACAGGCACCTTCCCTGGTACTAAGCATTTTACGTAGGTCTCAAAATGAAATGTGAAAAATGTTTATGGAAGTACTCGCAGCAACATGAAAAAACCATGTTTTTTTTTTCTAACATCACGCCACGTGTGCTTGCTTTTCCAGCACTTAAACACAGTCTTACACCTAGATCTGAGAGTTTTGAACACTGCGCTTTGTAACTAGATGAGTGTGCCATAAAAAAAGCATCCTGCTCACGGAAACAGCGAACACTGATGCCATGCAGGGATTTGCCTAGATCACTCTTTGAGAGATTTAACATTTGCTTCAGCAGAGGAGCATTTACTCAAAACAGAGGGCACTCCAGCAATAAGAGGGATTTCACCTGGCCTCTGAGGCTTGGTCTCAGATCTCCAGCTGGGGCTGTAGGACAAGGACCACGGAAGCAGGTGTCTCCTTGCCCCAGCCATGCCACTGCTGAACTCCTGGTCTCGGCAGCAAAGGTGGACGCTCAACTACTTCAGGACCTTCTGCACAACCCTCTGAAACAGCCAGTGCTGCTACAACTGACAGCAAGACCAGACCCAGCAAAACCAACAAGACTCTAAACATTGTCTAACAGTTACTTTTTAGCATCTGGTTCATTACTCCACTTGCAAATTTGACATTGAATTTTCTCTCTGAAATCAATAAATGTAATTGATCTTCCCTGTATTTAGCAACATGTAGACATATAGAAAAGAATTATTTTCCTGACACACCCTCTGGAGAAATTCCCATAGTACTGAACTTCTTGGTGGAGGACTGATTTTTTATTTCTAAAAGCAACAGAAGTTTTTGCTGCTTTGTGTTATTTCGGTAGACTGGAAGAGGAATAAACCGCAAATGAGCATTTTGGAAACCGGTTTATTTAGATATTTCGTATTCTTCCTGACCTTGGTAGCTTTGGGAATGTCACCAGTAATCCAGCAGCGTTTAAGAACTCTCTACACCTGCAAAGTTGCAATCTGCTGACGCACGAGCAGGGATCACATCTTTGGAAGCCAGAAATTTCTAATGAATGATGGCATGTAATTGACTCACGGACTACGAGCTCGTCTCTTGAGTGGATTAGTCCTTCAGACAGTCTCTCCCAGTGCCGCTAAGTAACGCTTACACTTAGATGTAATTTTTTTTTTCAGCACACATTTGCATGCATACCTCTGTTTTCCCACAGCTTAGGAGGTGCAAGGAGTGCATCTACTTCTGCATCTATTTAAAATAACCTGATGCCTCTACTGCAAAACTCACATCATCTAGGCAAATCCAGAATGTACATGTCACAAGCCAGACTTACCGTAGTGTATTTTCCCAGCTGGCAGAGCGAGGGGAAGGTTTCCTGGTGAGCTTTTCGGATTTTCTCAGTGAGGTCATCCAACTCTGCTGTCATTTCATAGTTTTCTGTGGACTCCTGCTTTGAAGGTTCCTTCTTCTTTTTGTTCCTATCATTTCTGACAGCTATAGAAAAAGCAGAGACACAGATGACATGGTTATTCCGATCACCCCATTTTGCTTTTGCTGCTCTACTTCAAAACACTGCAAAATACTTCTATTTTAAACAAAAACTATATTAAGCAGAGATAAAAGTGTTATATGCACAGTGAATACTAATGTAGGTTTTATTACTTAGCTGTAGGAATTACATTTAACAGGTAATGATGAAACCAAACTTCCATAGGTACTTGTGGATGAGCCATTATGAATCTACCCTCTAAGAAATTCTACTGCAACTTCACATGCACTGTAAATGTCTCAATAACTTTGTAAGTGAGATTTTTTCACTGTATCATTACGGCTGCGATAGTGAATGGCAAAGTCCTCTGCAGTGATGCAGTTTGTATTGTATTGGATGGGACCAATGCTAAAAAAAGACAGCAACTCTCCTTAAATTTCAGTACAGAAGATAATAAAACTCACGCTAATACAAACTCCACCAAGCACAAGTTATTTAAAGGGAAAGTTAAACGTGAAAACGGTAAAGGAAAGAAGATGAAACACATTAAATTCAAGATCTGAAGATCAAAGGAGAAGCACAAACATTTGAAAGAGTAAAAATGGCAGTGAAGCTATCTGAAGTTGCTTGCCATCTGCTCCTGCACTCAGATCAGCCTTCTACCTTCCCTCGGCCGTGGGGGATTACTGGAAATATGCATTGTGCAGCACTCGCACTGTAATTGATTTCCCACATATTTGTGTTTTGTAATAAAATATGACAGCTGCTCCATCACCATGCTACCCTTTGTTCTTTTAATGAAAATAGCTTAATTTTACAAAACGTGCCCAGGAGATAAGCCTGTGTCCACAGTATTGCCAGTACTTGCGAATTTTATCAAGAGGCTTGTTGTTAGCTAAAGCTAACGTCTTAAGTGTAACCAGATGCATACGCTTTACAACAAAGCCAAGCAAAATCAATCCCTCTCCCTAAAGACTCTGCGTCAATATTAAACACCCCAAAGACTAAATGTTATTGGACAAATAAAATAAATCCTAACATTCACTCCATTCAAAACCTCAAGCTATTTAAAACAAGGTCCTAAACTCCGAGGGTGTGGCTGGCAGGCTTGGTACACATGAGGATGGTTGGAGATTCTGGACGGCCAAAGATCTGCTGACTCTCATTTGTACCAATCTGCCCCAGAAAAAACCATCTGTCCATGCTGTAGGGAGGGAACCACAGCAAAAAGGGAAAATGACCGGAGCTACCTCCATGCCAGCTCTTTTGCCCTGTGGGTTCCCCAGGCCCATCTCTGCATCTGCTGCGGTTGTTTCCTACGCACGCGTGAACCATAACTGATTAAGAAGAGCAGAAAAACAGTGAACATTTCAGGAGGAAGAAAAGGCGTTGATCCAGTCACAGCTACCATATCTGTTCAACAATGAATGACACAGCTGGATTCATTCTCCTTTCAGTGTCCTTTCTGAGAGAAAATCAAGAGTGATATGGGAAAATGGTGGGGCAGGGAAGCAGTGGAGTCAGGGCATCTGCAGAAATAGTTTACGTAACAGAAAATGAGGGGTAGACACAGTGAATAATGTTGCTCCTTCACGAAGTCATTAGGCACACACCCCGTGTGATGAATGGCTGTGGTTTACTCACTAAAGGTCTGACTTTGCAGCAGAAAGAACTCTGACTCCGATCCAGCAGATGTTTTTAGGATGAACTTGACTTTAACTGTGTGAACAGACTCGCTCTGAAGTCACGTGCTTTTCTGGATCAAGGCTGGGATGCTGAGCAGCCCACTGGATCAAAGCCTAACCTTGAGCACCATCAACCCTGGTGTGTGGAGCAACACAGACTCAAAGGTGGCCAGGAAGGGCGGACTGAAAAGGTACCTTCTTGAGAAGGTTCAATGCTACCAGTGTAGTCAGATTTTGGGGAGGCGTGTGGGTTGGATTACCTCCCTTCCTTTTACAAATATTCCCCTAAAAGCAATGCCCTGATTTGTTTGCTGGACCCCAGGGCAGAGCGCAAGTACAGGCTCTCACACTGAAAAAACATCCAGGACTGACACGTACATCTTTGAGTGCTCCAAACTGCCACCCGCTCCAGAAGTAAATCCTAATTGCTGCTGTACCTGGGAGATAAAAGGGCTCCTCAGAAAATTACATTATGTAAACTCCTACACAACTGCAAAGAGCAATAAGCCTTTGTAGTAAAGACCCATTTACTTATAGCACTACGAGCCGATTGACAAATTTGCCAAACAGGCAGCCTCAGAAACTACTTATCTCAATGGCTCTGAACTTCTTGTGGAAGACAAACATGTTATTTAGGCCAGGCTTCTGGTGCAGCTGCCAAGAGCTCCCAGAGACCAGGAGATAACTCCAGCAGGAACTGAGCCAGGCTCCCGCACTACCCTGGCACAGACCCTCCTGCAGCTGTACCTGAAGTCCCTTCCCCTCCAAAGGCCACCAGAAGGACAGCTGCTGGTCAGCCCATGTCACCAAACTGGCCAAGCTCTGTCCTCTTTCTCTTCAGATGCAATTCGCTAAAGAGTGGGAAGGGGAGAACTAACACATCCTGAAAGCTAAGAACAGGGTTTTTTTCATTGTCACCTTTTTTCTATGATTCCAATAGCCATTATAATAATGATAAAACCTGAATAACTTTTTTGCTTTTTGTATACTTTTTATATTTCCTACATTTGTCTTCACCAGGGCTGCATCAGACACAGCAGTGCTTCCATTATTGAATCTTACAGAGAATATAAAGTGCTGACATACAACACTCAGGCTCCAAAATTATAAGGAATTTCAATAACATCGAACAATTATGCAGACTCAACTACAACGATAATTCAATGCAAAAAAAAAAAAAAAGAGAAAGACAGATTAAGACAACACTACATTTAAAAGAGATAAATAAAAACATATAAACACATATATTTACCCAGTAAATTTAAAAGCCATCACTGCTCTGGGAACAGGAACTGTCACACCACATGTGGAAAGGGATTATAGCTTATGCTTACATTACATAAATCACACCTTTTTGTATCTTGATCTTTACATGCATATGATCACATCAATCCCTGATGCAATTCCACTGCCTTTTAATGATGATACGGCAGTGATGAATCTGTGTCACAGTTAATGCTGCTGTAGAAAACTCAGGTTATGAATTTCATTACTTGTGCATTAAATTCTGACTTGATGTCTGCATTATTTAGGAGCTCCCGACAGGGGACAGTATGGAAGCTCTCTTGCCCTGTGAGAAATACTGGAAGTTAAGAAAACAAACAAGGCAGTGGGTGGTGTGGGGAAAGAGAATGAAGAAAGGTGTATCTGGATACGTGAGGAAGCCACGTCTCAGTGCTGCTCGGACAGCTGAGCGACGCACGCCCACGCCTGAGCACGTCTGCTCCGATCCATCTTCCCATGACAGCTTCCCTGTCCCCTCAACACACAGGCCAGGACTTGCACTTCCACACCCAGAAACCTCCAGACAGCTGCGGCTTCGGAGCTGGCGAAGGCACTTTCTGCTGCCTTAGCTTTAAGGACCAGCCCCTACGCCAACACGTTAATTCTGACGGTAGAGGGGCAGAACATCATCTCTTGCCCCATCCAGTCTGTTCTTCTCACCCCAGGTTTGTCACCCATTTCCTGAGCTTCAGACATACTTTCCCTCTTGCCCTTGAAGCGATGGGCAGGGCACAAAAGCTGCAGGAGGGAGGGGTGTGTTTCTCAAGAAAAGCAGGGCCTGCTGCAGATGAAACCAAGTATAGGAATGACATAAACAATTTCTCTTGGAGGACCCCACTGCTGTCATTTAGCAATCTTGCAGCAATTCTCCTGCTTGAGCGGGATCATCTCAAGCGCGTGGTAAAGCTGGGAATCGTCCAGTCTTAAACGCAATTCCCTCAGGTCCACCAAAATTAAGTCACCGCTTGGCCTAAGAAGAGTCTGGGACCCAGCACAAGAGATTTGGGCAGTTTCTAGATAATCAGGTAAAATTACAGAATAGCAAGTGTTTGTATTCCCCTTTGTCAAAGGTGGCACAAACGAGCCCAGGGAAGAAGAGCCTGCAGCTCACAACTCAATTTTTCCAATTACTTGCATAATCTGTGCTTCCCTAGATGCCCAGAAGATAGTTAGCCAGCACCTTTTATATTTTACAATGATTAAACAGCTATAAATTCATGACTTGAAATGCTATCATTGCAGTTTTGCCTCTCAGAGATCCCCATGACCCTTGGAGAGCTCTGTGCACTGGTTAACTGGTTTTGTTCCTGTAGCAACAACTACCAGTGTTTCCAGTTAGTTTGCATTCCTATAAACCCACACTTCTCTTGTCCCTAAATATTTTGGAAGTTACTCGTTAAACTAACAAATCTCAAAAGCACCATAAAGCACAGAGAACAAGTCAGTAATCGCACAGCGATGGGCGCAAAAGGAGGTTTTCAAAAGAAGAATCCGTTTGCTTGCAAACGCCGGTGGGAAGAGAGATCGGAGGTGAGCTGGGGCAGGACGGCCACAGACCTGCCAACCCACCTGAGGAAAGTCACCTTCCCAGTCACCTTGGGAAAGCTAAAAACCGAGGGAGACTTAGCACCCCTGATGTTGCTGCTGTTGCTGCATGAGCCTCTCTGACCCTGCAGACAAAGACAGCACCCAGGTGCACGTCGCACGTGGTTGGTGGAAGCAGGAACAGAGATAAGGGACCTCAAGGAGGTTGATTTTCCTCGCTTCGACGTAAGGAAAGGAAGAAAATAACCATCTTCAAAGCAACACAATCATGCCTGACAAACCGACGTGCTATCAGCTGAGAATGCCAAGACTCCTGTTCAACCTTTTAAAAGCAATGGAATTGCAAGCCAAACGCAACATTAAAATATGCAGAACACCAGGTAGTCATAAAGTGGTTGGTGTTCCTAGGTTGTGATTTCCAGATGAAATAATGTTTTCTTTGAGGCAAAACTGCTCAGTTTTTAAAGAGAACACAAAACTATCTTAAAACC